GAGAGAGGAGAGATAGAGAGAGAAGAGGTTATTTATTACAGTACTCACTCACTCACTCACTCACTCAATAAAGCGATCAGTTAGTTATCCGGCGCAAGAATTCATGATATTATATATACTTATAGATCCATTCCATTACTCGAGTATTATTACACAATATAGCCAACTCAAATCACATCACCATCACATTACCCTCACATCACCATAATCAGTATCTGTAAATCCCCACACCCGTACCCCCACCACCAACCAGATTCAAGTTACAGACAGTATCACGAATCCCACGAATCCCACAACCAACAACCAACAACCCACAAACCTAGATATGTAACAGTTCAGCTCAGCGCTGTGCTGTGCTACCCATTCCATCCACAGCATTTCTATTCTCGTGATATATATTAATATGAAACCCTTCATTTGTTTTATTCATATTTTCTTTTGTCTTTTTCGGGATGGAATGAAATAGGTAATGTGATGTGATGTGATATGATGTGATGTGTTGGTGATAGCTGAAAAGTCCAGTCCTGTTTTGATAAGCAAGGGGTTCATTTATTCGATAATGTAAAGATTGTGTTTTATATTGTTTTATGTTATGTTATGTTGTGTTGTGTTGCTGGAGGTTGAGCTGGGGGGGCTTATATTCATATTCATACTCGAGTATTCATATTCTTAAAGTTGGAGTTGGAGTTGATGTATATTTTCTTACTATTTTTCTGGAATTATTAATTGTCTTGATTAAGACATGATGTTTGGGATATATTGTTTGTGCAACATTACAGTCTATTCAGAGTATATATTATATTATGTTGTGTTGTGTTGTGTTATGTTGTGTTTCCGAGCTGAGCTGACATTAAAACCCTGTACTTATAACTTATACTCGAGTACTGACGATTTCAACATAACAACTGACATCTATCTATCTATTCGAGTAGATAGAACATGTAGTTTGTAAATGCAAAGTATCAAAGTCTGCAGTATCAACTCTCAACTTTCATCATGGAATCCAAAAGCAAATTTGCAACAGATATCAACCATCCAACAACAACAACAACAACAACAACAACAACAACCAGCAACCCCCACCCCCATCCTCATCTCCATCCTCATCTCCAAACATAGAAATAAAAAGCGTCATCCTTCCACTCCCCAGACCCACACAACAGATAGAGATAAATATAAACACCCCCGAGCTCCCTAGAAACTTCTCCCTCCTATCACTCATCTCCCTATGTCTCTGTTTAATGGCTACATGGGAAGCGCTATCTAGTGTTGTTGCTGCCGCGTTGGCAAATGGAGGGGCTCCTTGTCTTTTTTATAATTTGTATGTACTTGAGTATATTTGTTTGTTTGGGTTTTATATTCATGGATTGTCAGGATTGAGAGTTGGTTTTTCCTCACTGACATGATATAACCATTATGCAGCTGTATTTCTCTGGTTGGTAGTTTGGCTATATCTTCATCTTTGGCTGAAATTGCGTCGATTTGGCCGAGTGCTGGTGGTGAGTACTGTACTCGTTATGTTATGGTCTTTTCTTTCTTCGTTTCTTCCTTGCTTGCTCCCTTCATTCAGACCATTCCAATACATACACACATACAAGAACATCCATCGAATAACATGATACCATATCATAAATAAACAGGCCAATACCATTTCGTCGCAGCCCTAGCCCCCAAATCCCAAATGAAAACCGCCTCCTGGTTCACCGGCTGGCTCTGCATCGGAGGCCAAATCGTCCTTACAGCATCCGCTGCATTTTCCGCAGGGCTACAGTTTCAAGGACTTGTTATACTTCATCGTCCTGATACCAATAGCTATGTGCCAGCCAGATGGCAGGGTATGCTGTTTTATTGGCTGGTGCTTGTGTATTCTGCTGTTGTCAATATTTGGGGATCGAGGGTGCTTCCGCATACCAATTTGGCTTCTGGTATGTTTTCTTCTTACTACACTACACTACACGATGTGTGTATGCTGCGCTAGAGCTGAGCAACTAAAATCAAGTCTTAGGGATTCTTCATATCGTCGGTTTTGTGGCGATTATGACGGTACTGGGAGTTATGGCACCGAAGCATGATGCTCAGTTTGTTTTTACACAGGTTACTAATACCAGTGGGTGGCAAAATGATGGGGTATCGTGGCTCGTGGGTCTTTTGAGTGCTGTATATCCACTTCTCGGGTTTGATGAATTCCCTTCCTCGCTTATGGTGTGTACTAATCTTTTGGTATGATGTAGGTATGATGCGGCGTGCCATTTGGCAGAAGAGATGCCGCGACCTGCGCGAGATGTCCCGATTGCTATGGTGGGAAGTGTGGCTGTGAACGGAGTCTTGGGACTTGGATATTGTGTCATGTTATTGTATTCCCTTGGTGACTTGGACGAATGTAAATACATTTCCTTTCCTACCCCTAAAAGACGTCATGATATCAACACTATCTTTGTAAAAGCTAGCATAAAAGAGATTACTAATAGCTATAACTTCAGTACTTGCATCATCGACTGGATTCCCGTTTATGCAGCTATATCAAAACGTCACCAAGAATACCGCCGGGGCAACTATATTGATACTGATCGTCTGTTTCATAGCTGTAGCCGCCAATGCGGCTAGTTGCACCTCGACCTCACGAACATACTGGGCCTTTGCTCGCGATTCTGCAACGCCATACTCAAGGTACTTTGCACACATAAGCCCGACAACACAGGTACCCGTTCGTGCCATTGTGGCCTTGACTGTTGTAGAAATGCTGCTTGGTCTGATATATCTCGGAAATAGTACTGCATTCAATGCCATCCTTTCGATGTCCGTTCTTGGCATGTACGCTTCGTATCTTGTGCCCATTATCTACATGATGATTTATGGTAGGAGGAATCTTAACACAAACCAATATGGCCCATTTAGATTGGGTAATGCATTAGGATTGGTAGTTAACGTAGTGGCTGTGGTTTGGCTTCTCGTGGCGATAGTGTTCTGCACGTTTCCTAGTGTGCAGCCTGTAACTGCACAAAATATGAACTATAGCGTGGTTGTCATGGGCGGATGGCTGTTTTTCGGGGCGATGTTTTATTTTGGCTTTGGTAGACGGGAATACAATGGACCAGTCGGGATAATTGAAATGTAAGAGGTAATGGTGTTGTATGATTGAGGATGATAAGGGTGTTTATGTCAGTAGCCTATTCCTGCACACTGTGCGATGGGACCTAGAGTTTCCATTGTTCATCGCTTTCGAGTAGAACTCGAAGTTCTTCATCTAGAACATAAAATTCATCGGAAGAATCTCCAAATTCTCGCAAAAACTCCCAGTCATCTGCTACTGCCATAGGTTTTGCTATACCAGACGTGGCTTCTACTGTTGCATTTTGTGCATGCGTTGATGCTTGCTCAGATAGAAGCTGCGAGGCCGTTGATTCTTGAGCATCGACAGCTGCGGCCGCATTGGCTAGAGTGGTCATGTTAACATCTTGTGGCATTGCAGATACTTTAAAAATTAGCACAAATTTGTAACATAGGAGAGTTCAGGGCTTACAATCTACCAAAAGCTGTTGACGAGCTCCAGCACTCTTCCAACTCCTTCCGAGAACAGAAAGCCAGTGTATACACATTTTAAGACGACGTTGTAATTCCGCGTTATCACCTCCGTCTGGTTGCTTTGTTTGATGTAATAGCGTACTTGCAGCTGTGAAAATACTGAATACCATGTCACAAGGTAGGCCATGGAAGTCATCAAAGTACTTCTCCAAGATATTGCATATTGCATTCGCACTATTGAGGCAAACTTTTAATGGGTCCGCCGAATTATTGGTATTTGCAGGGTTTGATATCCATCGAGCAATGAAAGGGCGATGTAGAAGAATTGTCCCGGAATGCATGACCTAGATTAGATAAGCAATGGCTAGACATGAAGTAATGTACACTCACAACGTAGTTCGTAACGACGCCAGGGACTGATGTCAGGTTATTGCTTAAATCTAAGCGTAAGGGAGAAGCTTCAATACTCTCTTCCCATTTCTGGAAAGCAGACCATATTTCCATGCGCTTCGTTTCGCCGAAAACTCGGTTATCACGGATTGCTCTTCGACTAAACAATCCATATATTTCTCGTGAAAGTCTCTCCATGATGACGACGAGTTTAATGGTGGTCACCAGAACTGACAGTGTACGCATCTTGCCCGCAGTATGAACGTTAGGGGTACTCTGTCGTTTCATTGTAGTAGGGAGCAGTTCAAACTCGTCTGCCTCAGAAGTAGACGGATGTGGAGTATCAGTCTCCTCGACCCTGAGCATCACCGGTCTACCCATTTCACAAGAGATCATCTTTTCAAGGATGAAGAGATTCCACCAAAGACGATAGCGAATCTCACTCTGTGGGTCATCGGATTCGTGAGGCCTATGCAGGCGTAACTCGATAGCCATTGATGATGCAAGTCCACAGAATAGTGCCGCTCTGGAATATTCGGCCACTCCGTGTTGCTGTAGCGCAAGTATCGTCAATGTTTGGCAATTCACGATGGAAGGAGTAAATGCGTTTTTTAGTGTCTTGTCATTACTACCATTACTCCTCTGCAGTAAACTCAAGGCTTCTTCGAAATAGAAGTGAGGCTCTGCGGCACTCGTAACATGCGCATCATCAAATGCCTGCCGAAAGGGTTGATGTCTGTCTACACAAGCCGCAATAGCGAACATTGCAGATGCTAAGACATTTGGTATGCTCGGTGAAGGATACGTATAATCGAATGAAGTGTACATTGGTTTGTACAGAATTGGCCATAGTGGATGAATACAATCGAAGTAGGTTTGAAACAAACGTTTTGAAACCTCGACACTAAAAGCATTTGAGGATTTCTTGAAGCCATCTTTTCTTTGCGACGATAAGCTCGTAGCTAGAGATGTGGTTTGTCTAATAGAGCCTTGCTGGATGGATTGCGTATCATTTTGAAAATACGTACCAGGAGGACGATTGCCTTCTGATGACAATTGAAAAGGTGGCGGGGTACCGGTAGATAGATTTTCACGAGGGATGTTTGAAGGGCTATTCAATAAGCATCAGAGATATACTTCCTCAATGAGAGAAGTTCCTCAATCTCTCACTACTCACTACTCACCTCTCATCAATCAATTTACGTGGGAAATGCCCACGCTTCGATATACCATATGAACATTCGTCGTTCCTCCTCTGGCATGGCCCACATACAGGTGCCCCGCCATCACACTGAATCAATCAACTTAGTCAATGGCTGTAGACATTTTCGTGTTGTAGAGAATGAAATTGTTCATTCATACCTTGATTTTCTTGACTCCACATGGTCTACAAGCTTGCGATATTCTCTTCCGACTCGACATTTCGAGTACAGGCGTGTAGTTGCCGAATTGATTGTTCTGATTGTCGGAACTGAAGGTAGAGAAAATATATTCTACGGGAGACGATGTTCCCGGTTAGAAAGCGGCGCCTTAGAAAACGAGAATGGGAAGTCTGGGAGTGAAGTTCATAAACTTCTTGTCCATTACCTAGGTAGATAGAGGCGACGATTGAGTCAATTCATCAATATGATATGGTTGAATTGTTATTATTATGATGTTTATTGCATAATAGTTGAATGGGCAGTCCGGCAACTACTCATCTACTCATATGTACTAGCCGGTTCGATCGGAAAATGTCTTGGATTTCACCCGGTAGACTTTTGACGGGGGGTCTCGGGTATTAAAAACAATTTCCGGGTACATACGAGGCATATTTCCGACGAGAACATGATCCGGACTTGTTGTACTGTCTACCTAGTACATAAATAGTATATCAATGATTGTCCAAGCTCAATTGCTAGGTATATACCCAGTAGTAGGTATGTATCACAGAATGAAATTATATTTGGAGTGGCTAGACCTCTCACATCTCTCACATTTCTGTCAAACTTATAATTATAATATCTAGTGCTGTTGTACCACTCTTTCAACTCCTGTTGTGTGATTGGCGTTCATGCAATGTCCCGAGAGGTCCGAAATCCATATTGCAGGTATTGCAGATTCAGCCGTCTTCTCAGTGCCCACCGGCCTTGGTATGAGAATGTTCATGTATCGGGATGATGTATGCAAATAACTACATTCGCCGTGCAGCTTCGTGACCACTGCATAAATTAAGAGTCCTCCAAAATATGGTCTATTTATGTTTATTTCCCGTGTTACTCGCCCTTCCATAATAGACGTTGAGTGATTGAACGATTTCCCACCTTTGGAAGCTTCAGTAACATTTGCAACAACGAAAGCTAACGATGACAATGTCATGCATTGAAACCAACATCGATTCTTTTTTGTCTGTAGCTCGTCTCGATGGCGTGGGTGAAACCTAGATACTAGAGTCCAGTGAGCCTTCAATGTTTAAATGGGATGAATTTCCCAAGTATTCATTCCTTCCAGATATAAAACCACAGAAAATGTCTTCCCAAATGGCCAGATACTCTGCGGATATCTTCCTTCGCACATTAATCAACATCTCGTCTGATAAATGTGTCACCCCGTGTCTGGCTATGGTACCTGATCGACCCGTATAGATCAATAGAAAGGCGTCGTGACGGAGTGGTTAACGTGATTGACTAGAAATCAATTCCTTTCGGGGGCGCATGTTCGAATCATGCCGACGTCGATATATATTTTTTGCTTGCTTTCGTTTTGGCATTTTAGAAAAAGGGTTTGCGGTAGGGAGACGGCAGTCCTCTGATTGTTACATTCATCAACTTCTTGTTAATCTAGGAATTTTTGAATTGCCCAAACAAATTGAGGGTGGAGAAAAAAAAACTTCAATGCAAGTATGGATACTTTGACATTCGGAAAGCGGAGCCATGGTATCTATGGTGAGTTAGACCATTCGGAATGTTTCCCTTTTTCGTAGATACTTGGGCTGCAAGTTGCAATAGGGAACTTGTGTGTAATGATTGAGATGTGAGCATTCGGGGATGATTTGTAGTGATGAGGTTCTCCGTCTACAGCTTATGGTCCGATAGAGACGAGTAATAATTTTGTGGTGCTAAAATTTCAACCAGATCATTTATAGCTCCCGGTGAGGTTCAATTCTCGCCAGAGCTCACCGGGGGCTTATTTTCTAGTCCGCTTCAATCTAACCTTCATCTTCATCTTCAAAAGGACTAGCTTCTCTTCGAAGTATCAATGCCTCTCAATTACTCTTTTCTTTTCTTTTCTTTTCTTTTGACTTAACCAGCCATCAGGTTTGTCTAATGGATATTTCCTCGACCCCAACCTTCGCTGACGATCACAATTTATTCTGGTAACAAGCGACCAGCGACTGACTATCTCACATCAATAATTACTATAAAGAAAAATAATACGGACAGTTTAAAAAGGCCTTCAAGTCAGAGGTGGGATAACAACCTCTTATTATCCGTGAGCTTTTGTCAGTCAGATGGAATCATCAGGCGCAAGGAAATGCCTCGGCTTGTCAATAGACAATAATTACATTCCTATTGATTGAAAAGCTATGGTGGCTTAAAATGTGTTGCGAGTTAATTGGGCTCTTGGAATGTAGAACTATTGAAACTCACACTCTTTTCATCATCAGTGATATCTTCTCATTCTACTTTCTTTCTGCTCTATCTCACTACATCTCTTTTCCTGCCTATTCAAACCTCATCATGTCCAAAACCAAAACAACCACTTTCTCCCCCCGAATGTCGAGGAAACCTCCCTTCACAGCAGAAGTACAAGGAATTCCTGAAGTAGCCGGTGAATCTGTTCCCCGTCGCAATATTCGATACCCCGAGCTTCTTTCTCAGCCAGAAGCTGGTATCGAAACGGTATTCGATATCGTACAGCATAGTTCTCGACGATTTGGTGATGCGCAAGCTCTGGGTTCAAGAAAACTCATCGAGAAACATACTGAAACGAAAAAGGTGAAAAAGATTGTCGATGGACAAACACAGGAAGTAGATAAAGTATGGACTTATTTTGAAATGAGTGGGTATGAGTATTGAGTTTTAAGGAGTATGAAGCGACGGTGTTGTGTGTGGGGGCGGGGTTGAGAAAGCTTGGATTGGTTAAGGGTGATCGGGTTCATCTTTTTGCAACTACGAGGTACTCGTCCATGTTATGTCATGGCATATTCGAGATTTATGCTTACTCGAAATTAGTGCTCACTGGCTATCAATCGCGCATGGCTCAATGTCCCAATCCATGCCAATCGTCACAGCCTATGATACTCTTGGCGTCGAAGGGCTCCGGCATTCCCTCATACAAACGAAAGCGAAAGCCATATTCCTAGAACCACAGCTGCTTAAAACTTTGCTAGAATCTCTTGGGGATTTGAAACATATCAAATATGTGATATACAACACAGATGGCGATACAGAACTTCCGTTATCGAGTATCAAAGAGCTGAAGAAGAGTCACAATCATCTCACGCTTTTAAGCTACGAAGAACTGATAGACTTGGGACATTTATATCCTACCGAAGCTGTGCCTCCGAGAGCAGAAGATCTTTGTTGCATCATGTACACATCTGGCTCGAGTGGTATCCCGAAAGGCGTGTCGCTAAAGCATAAGAGCGTTGTGGCTGCCGGTCAGTATTCCAATTCTCGCCAATTTTCTAAATTAACATTAGTGTACTCTAGTCGCAGGAGCAAACAGTATCGTAGGCGAGTATCTAGGCCCCTTTGATACACTCTTCGCCTACCTCCCCCTCGCCCATATCTTCGAATTTGTATTCGAAAACGCATGCCTTTACTGGGGTGCTCAAATGGGCTATGGCCACCCCAGAACTCTCTCTGAAACCTCCATGAAAAACTGCAAAGGTGATATCCTCGAGCTCAAACCCACTCTTCTAGTCGGTGTACCATCAGTATGGGAAACCGTCAAAAAAGGTGTCGTCGCAAACGTCAAGAAAGGCGGACCAGTCGTCCGTACCTTATTCTGGAGTGCTTTCCACACCAAACGATTACTCTCCTCAACCGGCCTACCCGGCTCTAGTATCTTGGACGCAATCGTCTTTAATAAAGTCAAACAAGCGACTGGGGGAAGACTTAGATTCTGCTTGAATGGCGCAGGTCCCATATCTCAACAAACCCAAGAATTCATCTCTCTCACCATCACACCCATGATTTCCGGCTATGGCTCTACCGAAACTGCCGCGTTAGCTCCCTCCCATCTCCCCATCCACCTACATACAAAAACGTAATTACTAACACACCACCAGCATGGGCGCCATATGCGATCCCCTCTCCTTCACCCTCCAAGCCGGCGACATCCCCGCCTGCATCGAGATAAAACTCGTCGATTTCCCCGACGCCGGCTACTTTGCCACACACACTCCTCCCCAAGGAGAAATCTGGATTCGAGGACCTAGCGTCATGTCCGAGTATTACGACAACGAGATTGAAACTGCTGAAGCTCTTACTCCAGATGGATGGTTCCGAACGGGAGATATTGGAGAATGGGATAAGAATGGACATTTGAAGATTATTGATCGCAAGAAGAATTTGGTCAAGACAATGAATGGGGAGTATATTGCTTTGGAAAAGGTTTGTTTTTTGCTCGTACGCATATTAGTTACGAGAATGGTATGCTAATAGTCTGAAAGTTAGAATCAGTCTACCGAGCCGCGACTGTAGTAGCTAATATATGCATCTACGCCTCGATAACCGAAACACACCCCATCGCAATCATCGTTCCCGCAGAACCCGCTCTCAAGAAACTTGCAGAGTCTCTTGCAGTCGAAGGCTATGGTATCGATGATCTCGTTTATAATGAATCGATCTGTCGTGAGGTATTGAAGCAGATGCAGTCTGTAGGGAAGAGAGCTGGGCTGGCTGGTATGGAGATTATTCAGGGTGTGGTTTTGGCGGATGAGGAGTGGACTACGGTTAATGTAAGGTTTTTTTTTTTTTGTACATGTTTGTTTGTGTTGCAATTAAGGGGCAGATGGGTTTTCTTTAGTGGATAATACTGATGGGATATAGAAACTGGTAACAGCAACCATGAAGTTGAATCGCAAGGCGATTTTTGAGAGGTATGAGAAGGATATCGGTGTAGCGTATAGAAAATAAATGTTTCTGTTCCTGTTCTTATTAGGGATGGGGATAGGGATGGGAATGATCAGAGATGAAAGAAAGATGGGATTTCATAGCATATTTTGATCATTAATGAGCGATCTGAGTATCTGAACCTAAAGATATGAATATTTCCAAGAAGTATCCGTGAATTTTTCATCTCTTCATTTTGATACTTTCAATATACCAGTTCAGATACCTCATTTCCAATACAAGTGCTCTCTCCCTCCCTGTATTCGTATACTGGACTGAAAGAATGTCTGATTTATGCTTGAGTTTAATGATACAATACAAACAAGCACGCTTTCGGTTGTATTGAATTAATAAGGTGAATTAAGTAGTCTTATGTGACTAGTGGGATTTTCGGATTCACTCGAACATAACCAATATGATTCATTACTCGAGTAGATATTAGCAAGTAAACCTTGTGTCAAATCATCTTTGATATTTCTTTCTCGGCTATCCAAACTATATGAGATATTCCATCTTCAAATAGAATAATTTTGGTATCAGTTATCGAAAGGAATCACAACTCATTACTAAACCCATTTTGTCTCATCTCACGATCTCATCTCACGATCTCATTACCTTGCTACTAAAAAATACTAGCCCTGGTCCGGCCTAAATCACCAAAACTACACTACAATCATATTCCGATGCGATCAACCTGCGATACATATCAACACAACACAACACAACACAACACAACACAATACAATACCAAGCAAGAAGAAGCCCAAAAAAAAACTACGAGAACTCCACATTCCACAAAACATGATATTGAGAAACAGGACCACACCAAGCCGGCGCCTTCATACCCTTATGCTTATCAACAACCTTCCACGTATTCCCCAACGACAAATGCGCCTTCACCTCACTCCCCTTAAGCGTCGTAACCTCCGCCGCCACCACCCCATCACAATTCAAAAACGGCATTCCCAACCCTTCACTATCAGCCCAACCCTCAAACGGCCTCACAGCCGGTTCGCTCACCGGCACGGGTGCTGTGCTCATCGCCGCACCGATGGCATCGCCTATTGACGATTTACGCATAGATCGCGACGCGATGAAGTTTTCTTCGATAGCGGCGGTGCCGAGTCGATGGATGGCGACTTCGAGTTTTTTGAGCACGTCCGGTCGGGAGTTGGAGTTGTTGTGGATGATGAGGTAGGTGAATGTTACGGTTTCTTCGTCGCTGATGGGACAGGCGTGGAGGGTTAGGCTGGGATATGCGAAGCCGACGGATTGCTCGCCGAGGGGGAGGGCTACGGATTTCACGCCGCCGGATGCGGTGGCGATGGAGGCTGTGATGTAGAGAGTGTCTATGCGGGAGGAGCGGAGCTCGTTGATGAAGATCTCGGTTATGTTTATGTTGTAATTGGTGTCTCTTCCGAAAAATTCGCGCGTGCCGATCGATGCGTGCCACCATATTGAACCTCCGGTAAAATCGCTGTAGCGAGTATTGTATTTTCCGGCAATTTCGTCGGTGATGGGGATGCCTAAATAGCTACGTTCTCCTCCGAGAGCTATCCATCTTTTGTAGATATTTCCAGATACTCTGACCGCGCCGTACTAGATAGAACATTGGGGGATCAGTAATTGCCTATTAGGTTAAGACCTTTGCAATTGGATAAGAAACGCAATCTATATTAGTAAACGAATAGGAGAGATGATGAAACAATAAATTGGAGTTTCCAAGTCGAAAGTAGAAAGTGCAATATGGAGTAGTTGAACTTGCTCACTTCTGGGGTTGAGTATATCGCTCCGCCGCCAGAGAATCGGTTGAAACGACACACTTCATCGGGTGCAAATTCCTCGTCTGATGTAGGATATCCTAATTCGCCCAGCTCACCACCCGTAGCCATCCACTTCTTGTAGATATCTCCATATATCCAGAATGCCCCGCGAGTTACGGTATAATATATAGCTCCACCATGTGAAAACATGTTGAAGCGAGTTACTCCGCCAGGCGTCAAGGTTTCCTTCACATTGGAGAATCAGCAATTGCTCTACATTAAGAAAAATGAGAACTCAAGAAAGAAATTAGAGCTATTAATTGGGGACTGTGAAATACAAAAGTCGATTCCACTCACGTCAGAAATTGGGTATCCCATAACCCCATCCGCTCCCTCCATCGCCACCCACTTCTTATAAATTTCACCATGCACCACGCAAGTGCCAGTCTTAGCATTACAATAAATCGCACCTGAAGTAAAAGTATTAAAGCGACAACTACGATCCGAAGTCCACAATTCATCTGTGACTGGACAACCCAGTTTACTTCGATCTCTACCCATGGCCACATATTTCTTGAGGATATCCCCATGTACCTCATAGGCGACTGTAGCTTTTCCAAAGGCATCTGCTTTTGCAAGAATTGTAGCATTGACATAAGCACGAGAATATCCATTCTCGTTAATGATGAAGCCCCCCTTGGATGGACCGATCCATGGTAGAGAAGCGGCCTTTTTGGATATTAGATCTACAGCTGCATCTTGATTGCGCAGGAGCTGCTGAAATGTGGGGAATTCCGAATCATTGCAGTCGGGATACTAGATCCAACACAGTCAGCCTTCATTCTCTATACCTTACAATAATATTGATGCACCGGTATACTGACATGAACCGATATTCTGAATGAAGGAGAACGATGTGACGACATAACGTATTTTTGGCCCGATGAGGGCCATCTGCTGGGAGTACTGGCAGTAGTTTAAATAGAAAAGTATACTCGAGTAATAACCAAGGCATGGCATCCATTCTTTGAAGAATTATCACGGAAGTTGCCCATTAATAAAGCAATTCTATCTCCTACATGACTTAATGTATTGGCTCATCAACACCTAGGTCGACGGTCATTATTCTATTATCAGAGCTTATGGGCTCGTGGATTTCCGTAGTCAAAGAATGGAATAATATCCTTTGATGTGAAAAGGTTCGGAATATACCGAAATCTCCTACCTTTTGCGAAAGAATAATTCTTGATGATGGAAATGTAGGTCGGAGACAGTGACCCAAGAAAATGGTTATGGTGATTTTGAGTGTTTTGGTTTGATATGGGAGGGCGTTTGCTTGGCGCGTTGGCGACAGTTTGAGTTACCGTATATTCATATGACTTCATAAGTTGATTGCATAGCTCATTCAACCCAGTCACGGATCAAATCATGAATCAAACATTTCATACAAATAACCATTGTTTGATTCATCAATCAAATCAACCTCCATAAACTCTTCAAAAATGTGTTTCGGAAGCAGTTTAAAAGGAGAAGCCCCGTCAGGAATTAATAACGAGAACCTCAATTCACGCCCAATCAACGCGATACCTCATCAACGAAAAAGTTCCATCAAAATGCCACAAAACGAATCTTACTCTCCCCCTGCGGGACTTCCACCTTCACGACGACCTGATCCTAATAACGATCAATACCAGTATGCCCCTCCATCCGGTCCCCCACCTTCACACGAATATGCACCTCATTCAGGTCCACCACCACAGCAAGCTCAAGCACCGTATCATGACTGGCAGACTGCAGTCCCCGATACTTCACTTCTTCCACCTCCTCCTTCTATGGGCTATCAACAAAGCGACGCAAATAATGCTAGCGAAGAAGAAGCATTGCAGGGAAAAGAATGGTGTGAACAGAATCCTTTGACACCACCTGTACAGTTCCCGCAAGCTGCTCTGGAAGCACTTGATGCCGGAAACATCGGTGTCATCAAACCAAGGTCTTACAATGGGGATCTTTCACGTCTGCGACAGGGTGTTTGGGCTGGAAAGACAAAGTCAAATAGCAAGGACTCATGCATTATTTCTACGCTTCCGCTGTACTCCGTGTACGCGCATTCGCCTTTACAAAACGAAATTGGCAAGACTATATACTATGAGGTCAAAATATCAAATAGATATCGTGGGGACATCACATTGGGATTAGGATTTGTAGCACAAGCATATCCGACATTCCGATTACCTGGTTGGCACCGAGGGGCATTGGGTGTTCATGGAGATGATGGGCACAAATATATCAATGATCTATGGGGTGGTAAAGATTTTACCAATAAATTCCAAGCCGGCCAGACGCTCGGAATAGGAATGACGTTCACTCCACGAAATGTTGATAATCCTCCTGCATATGATGCTGGACCTGTACAAACCACAGCTCAAACTCCTATTGATGTTGAGATATTCTTCACTAGAGATGGCAAGAAGGATGGCGCTTGGAATCTGCATGAAGAGGGTGATGCTGTAGAAGATCTCCCTGTTACAGGATTGGAAGGTATGCATGACTTATATGCCGCGGTAGGAACATTCGACAATGTCGAGTTTGAAATCATATTTAATGAAAGGGAATGGATGTATCATCCATAAGGGATATTGGAAAACTTGGGGGTTTCAGGTAATGTCATACTAACACGGGAGGATTTGATTGAATGGAGTTGACTAGACAATACTATCTCGGAGTAGGAGAGATTTACAGAACAATTTTATATTTGATTAATCACATATCTTTTTATCGAACATGAACGTTCCCTACATTTATCCCATATCACATAGCGATTACCTAAGCTTGGTATCTCTCATCATTGTCACATGACTCACATCTCCCCCTCATTTTTCAGGGCTGGCTGTCTGTCTCATTAAGCTTTTTAAAAGATTTCAATATATTTTCCATTGATTCTATCTGCCTCCTCCAAGCCATACACCGAGTCCAGAAGGCCCAAAGAAATCTAGACGAAATAAGCGTTCGTTAAATCATGAAAACATAACTCGACTTATTACTTTTAATCTTCTTATATATCTACTTCTATTATAAAATATCGAATATTGATTTCATAACCCCCCTCATTACCCCTCATTAGTCAGCCAAAGGAATTATAATAAATAACATCAAAATCAAGGACATTCTATTTTTAGTTCAGAATATCATATACTTCTTTTGATTGTCACGGGTTCACAACCCGTTCCTAGCTAGCTCGTATGGATGCCTAAGGCATCCATCCACCATATAGTCGTCGTCGCTCCGCGCGCCTCCTTCTCTCCTCGTCGAATATCATACATTTTACCTAGTACCCGTACCAGCTCCGTGATAGTAATAACTTCGAGTCTTATACTTTTTGTAGTGAAGGCTTTTTTTGTTATTAGTGATGTGATATAGTATCGATATCTCTGTTCTTTCTGAGTCTGAGTCTGAGTCAGAATTAGAGTTGAAGTTGGAATTAAAGTTGGAATTAGAGTTTGAGTTTGAGAATAAAGTGGAGAAAAGTCTCAGATCTACTAGATCTTGATTAAATCAGACTAAAAAATTCGACTAATCAGATGCGGTATTTCACGAATCACGAATCAACGAATCATTAATGTGATATTCAAGTTTTGAATATAAATATCTATTAGGTAATCGCAACCAATGATATCTCTTTGATTATATCGGATATCGAATGTTCCAATAAGATATTCGATAGTATATTATAGTCTTCCGATATAAGCTAGAAATCCGGTACCGGTACAGTATTATAGCTTTTAAAGTTCTGGACTCTGGTAAAGCCTACCTAATCTGATATACACAAGTTCAACTACCGTATACTACTAGCCGCTTTTGATGAATTGAATCGAATTGAATTGAATTGTGGAGCATAACTTGAAGTTGGAGTGGAGTGTAGATCCTGAGTGAGCTCGAGGGGTATGGTATAAAGAAGATCGATGACTTCGTTATTTTTTTAGTTTTCAATGGATTGGATTGGAAAGGAAGAGAAAGGACGATAGATGATACAATACTACTAAGGAATAGATCATGATTTGATACAACTTGTTCTATAAAAGTGGCCGGAAAGATACAGGATAGCTAGGAAATACCGAAAGCTTGGTACTAGAAAGCTCGCTAGCTACCTAGTAGTACATAGGATATTTTGTGGACATGGCATTTTTCGGCTATTTTGATCATACCTTCTTTTGTGGGGCGATAATCCTCGAGTAGCCACCAGCCAATTTCAATTCATATTTTAGCTAGAGCAAATTATATAAACTTTTTGATTGAATTAATAGGTCATATCGTTCGTCGCATATGGTTGGTTATACTTCGAGGATTTAATATTTGGCTTTGGATTTTGTTGGATGATGGATCTGTTCGGTGCGGTTTAGTACACCGAGCTTGGTTTTTCTGACTCGCTGCTCGCGGAAGCTGGCGCTAGATAGGCCCTAACCAAGACTTATAGAAGTGGATCGATTATTTCATGAATGATGATTGAGGGATTGATATTAAACCAAGGCTCTTTCTTAGGTTTGGTCTATAAGTGGGTGTGGCTTTTGGTTGTCTAAGCCCGGGACTGCAGTGTATATTTTTACGAGAAGGGCTCTGATTCTTTGAGTATGCTTCAATATTCTGAGTTGATTTAACATTCCAAATGGTGATTATAAAAAATTGAAATGGATTCAGTAAATCAAATAGATCTGAAATTTTAAACGAAATAGATAATTGAAAGTCCCTTCTTATTGAACCGCAGGCAGTACGGATCATAGGACGCACTTCTATTAGCGGAAACTTTCTCACACCGGCAATCGAGACTAGCTAGCTATTTAAAAATCAAGATTATCCATTTGGCATCTGCGTTGAGCATCTAGTGCCATGCCGAGGTGAAGATGACTCTTGCCTCTTCCTGCCTCTCAAACATACTTTTGAGGGTGGAGTCGAGGCGATGACTCCTCGCTCACTATCTTCAAGTACTAGATGGATAGGTAGGTAGGTAGGTAACTATGAGTACCGGTCTTGTATCTATGATTCTATGATTTGGTCTGGGTCCGGTTGGTTGGACCGAGTTCTCGATTCTTTTGTCAATCGTAGTATTTCAAAGGATAGATGATCATCGCTGTTCTTCGGGATATATAGTATAATGATGAATTGACGATATAAGTGAGCTATATTTAAAGTTTAAGACGTAGTCAGAAACGAGTTTAGTGAGTATCCGGTACTTGAAATAAGGTTTGTATATTCCGATGGATAACGTCGATTGCCGATCCCAAACAAGCTAATAATGATCTTGGTAGACTAGGATGTGCAGGGAAGGCCTTGCACTACCTAGTTAGTACTGAAAATTTACTATTTAGGACACTTTGCAAAAGTATCGACGGGCTGCAACTTCTTCTGCCTTCGATGCGTCCTCCTCCTCCGCCTCCGCCTCCGCCTCGCCTTCCCTCGCTGCCTCCACCTTCTCCTCCGCTTCGCCTTCTCCCGCTGTGTCCGCCATCCAGGACGCCTCCTCCCTCGATTCTTCTCTTTCATTCGCCCCTCTTTCCCTCGCCCCTTCCACCTCGGGAGTGTCCCCTGCCTCTGACGATGTCTCGAGAGTTGTGCCAGTCGTCAATCCATGCGTTTACATCGCTATCGATCTGGAGGCAACCACAGAACAATGGGAGTACTATGGTCCAGGTCGCCGCCAACCAGGCCAGGGCCGGGTATTTCCCAGAGCGAGTCCCACCGAGATCGGCATCTCGATTCTTCGGGCCACCGGCGACAACGCGGAGCTTTTCGCAAAGGACCCAAAGTCCAAGGTTGGCACTGAATTCCGCCACATTCATATTGCGGAATTCAAGAGATACCGCACTAGGATCCACAAGCTCCGAAGCGACGTCCCCTTTCTGTACGGCAACACCAAGTATTCCCACTTGCCCGCGTCGATGAGGTCATCCGAGATCTCGTCGCCGAAGAGTCCAAACACGGACAAGTGGTGTTGGTCGGGCATGCCATTGGAAACGACCAGAGATACTTGAACAATGGCAACATTTCGGCTTTCAACGCCTACTTCTCGTCCGTGCAGGATACACAAATGATGCACCGCGAATCGAGAAGTGGAAATGGTAAGAGCCTCAAGGATCTGGTCAGGGTTTACGACGAAAACGCTGGTGAGGGTTGGCACAATGCGGGCAACGATGCCATGTGGACTCTCTGGGTACACGCAAACAAGGTCCGCGCAAACAAGTTGGCAGGAAAGGACTCCTGTCTCGAAAAGATTACACCACGAGAGCCTGTACCAAGTTGGCGGTACGAACAGTGGTAAATCAGCGGGCTTTGTGTAATTGCGGTACCATGTCGTGGTAAATGGACTGGAGGAGCTTGCTTGTGGTTGTTGGGTCTCTGCGTTTTGGCGTCTCTGGGAAGGGGTTGGGGGGTTTATTATACCTTGTTGTACTTTTTTTAAAACGATACCCCAAATAGCATTTTGTTCATATACATTGAAGTTGATTGATTAATTCAAGTTGCTATATTCACAAGTGAAGTCTATGTTAGTGACTGCCGGAGTGACGCAAATTGCCGTTCGAATCTAGTCACGCTTTGACATACTGTAGCCAATCAAGTAGTACGTACACAAATATTCCAACCTCATCCTCATCCTCAAAACAGCAGTGTCACGGTATCAGAAAAGAATTCTACAAAACTATTGTCCCAATATTCGAAGAACTCCAAATAATCTCTCACATAGATCGAATATCTCAAAAGAATATTTGTCAAGTTTCATCTACCATAAAATTCAGAAACACTTTACCATATTTACTAACTCTTATCTGTGAAGTACTTTCCTTATTCATATCCATTCCGAAGTACTCTATATCACCATCTCACCCCTATTAAATGGGAGTCATTCATGTTATTCTCTAGGTTCAATGTCTATTTTGTTGTTATCTTGTCTTACGATCCCAATATTGAACTGAGGTACAAGTACAAGTCAAAAACTATACCTGTCGAAAGATTTGAGAATCATTAAAAATTCCGAACTTATATTCGATTGACGAGAGGATAGCTTCAACTCCAAAATTCTTCAAATCAACCTTACATACGACATCAATATGCACCAGCACATCACCACATCACCACATCACCACATCACCACATCACCTCATCACCTCATCACCACATCTACCACCCATCATTACACACTTCTTCAACCCCCTCATCTCATATCATCTCATCTCCCTATCCACCCCCACTCCCCCACCCACAAACTCAGAATCTCCACCCCCCTATAAAAAACCTCTCCACCCACCAGCACCCCCAAAATCGACACTACAAAACAAATCCCCGTCGCCACTGCCTCCGAGACCTCTTTCTCTATCACCAGATACATATACAACGGAATAGCCACCGAATATATCACCATCGATTGTGTTAGGAAATAACCTATTTTACACCTGCTATTAGTTTGCTATCCTCAAATTCCTCGTACGAAGATTATTAACATCATATAGAAGAGAAGACAAGAACTTACTTAAACTCCTTCTTCCCATCGAAACTAGCATATTGTTTTTAAACCAATTCTGCACTCCCGTCCTCGTTTCCAATAGTAGGAATCCGCCGCATAAAACTAACCAATCCGATATCCTAGGCACTTGCACCCGCAAAACCGGGTTGCTATTCAATCCCCCCGATGCCCCATAAATATCTGTATGAGCCTTTAGTTCCGCATTCGACGTATGCACTGCTGAATCCGCCGTGCTGTAAAAATACTGAAGAGCGAGTCCTAGGAGCAGGATACAGGTGTAAGGTACATAAGACGGTACACGCCTCCTCGATATGCGTTTTAGGAGTGGGAAACCGGATGAGGAATAAATTAATAGGGGAGAATTTGTAAGTAAAAGAGAATCGGCGAGCAGGAGAGCGGAGATGGAGATAAAGGAGGGAGATGAGACCCAGTAGGCTGTGGAGAGGAAGAGGGGAGAGTATTTGAGGCGCCAGAGAGGACGGGTATAGGGGATTATGAGGGCGGTGATGTAGAGGGTGGAGGATTGTGCGTATAGGGTTGAGAGAATGGAGAGGGTTGCGGAGGGAAAGGCGAGGACGGCGGAGAGATTGTGGAGAGGGGTGTGAGAGGTGGAGAGGAAGAGTGTGATGAGGGAATTGAAGAGGGTGAGGGGGGTGGGTGAGAGGAGTGTGTAGGGGGTTTGAATGCTGGGGTTTGCGGTGTGGGTCATGAAGGTGGTGGTGATTGTGTTGGTGGAGGTGGTATGTGAGAGGAGAGTAACGAGAGAAAGGGAAAAGAAAGTTGGGATGATGAGACGGAAGGGTCGTCGAAATATCGAAGATGTAATGGTTTGTTTGGTAGGACAGCTGATGAATGGGATGCAGAGTGTTCTTGCGGATAAAAAAATAAATGACGAATAAATGAGTGATTCATTCCAGAAGATTGGCGAAAGAATCTTGCGAATGAGGTTTTGATAGGTGGGTGTGTCGGAAGGGAAAGTGACGATGTTACTTTTGACTGTTGCAGGAACAAATACTTGTAGGAATGTCCATAGAAAGGTCCGTAATATGAAGAAACCGCGTAGGCCTAGGAGGTAGGTGTATTGAGGGTGCTCGGAGGTGGCGATAGGGCGAATGACTTCATGATGGTTATTGTAATTTATCTTGCTAGTCTGCTAGATGTTGCTAGATATGTATGTGGATCTAGAGAAACTGAGAGATATACAATTTATCGCTGGTTGGAAACGAGAACTGTAAAGAACACACCAAATATCTATCTGGCACATTATTGGAAACCTACATGGAGTCAGGATTTCCAGTAGTCTAGACTAGAGTTCGGACCATTAGAAACACTGCTCGGAGTATCTTACGCCTTCAACATGAGCTGGAATGTCTCATGTAAAAACAAATTTTCCCGAGACTTGAAGGCAGTTTGTCTCGGGTGAAAAAAGGGGGAATAATCCTAGTATTGAAACTAAAAAGATGGTGTCAAAGCTTTCATGATCTCAGTAGAACTGAACGTTCCAGCATCAATAGCTAGAAGTGAGACAATGGATCTAGATCACAAATCCTTTCGTCCTTTGGGCGCATTATGCTGTAAAAAGTAGCTTTGGTGTGGCCAAGTAGATCAGAGAGTGGCATATGGTCGATGGTATTGGCAATGTGATATATAGAAAAGATTAAGTATATTTACCCAAAAAGAAATATTATGTAAATTGTGTAAACATGTTTCCTGCCAAAATTCATCACCCCCGCAAAATAAATTAAGAACCCTCTATCCATTCTCAAGCCTTCATTATCTGATCTCCATTGATATGCACTTCACCCTCGGCGAACTTACCCTTGGCCATCTTGTTGCGATGACTGATGGTAGGATCTCCAACAACTTCCTCCCCACACTCAGTAATCCGAATCTCTACCCCATCCATCTTCTTTTTCCCTTTCTCCATCCTTCCAATCTCATTCTCCTCAACCGGCTCCACCCCACCAACTACAGGAATCCCATCGACCATCCCATTTCGGTCCAACCAATCTCTCCCAAACGGTACTAGCGTCGGCCGCCCTCGCAATGGCTCTTCTGTCGAATCTCTCGTGACATCCCCCGCGACCCCTTTTCCACAAAGCCACACTATCAGCGACAATAACGGCAATGATAAAAACAACACCGTATAACATACGACGGCTGTTACAATTAAGACTGCCCAATACGGTAAGAGGTTATTGACCGTAATACATACCCAAGCACCGAGTGACCAGAATATAATACCGTGAAATAGATACATGCTGAAGACGTGGGGGAATAAAATCATAAGATGTTTAGCGGACAGGAATGACTGGACGAAGGGGGATATAGACACGAGGGAATGGATGGCGGTGCATAAGATGAGGCCGTTAAAATGAGGAATCCAGTAGCCGGGGTAGCCAGGGTATCCGGAATTATGAGTGATTGTAGCGGGAAGACCGGTGGTTGGGTCCGGATGAATGAGTGTTTCTTTAGTTATGACGCTGTAGTTTAGCCATTGGTTGAAAGTATCTACGCTGAGGGCTAGCAGAGCGAGAATTGTGAGGATTAAAATAAGAGGATAGTAAATGAGAGGATGTTTATGGAGGTATTTTGGGATGTGGTAGGTAACTTCGAGGTCGGCGAGTAGGATGCCGATCCAGAAGAACGAGGACCATGAGAGCGAATACCAGTTTATGAGGAACGAGAAGAAGTATAAAGGGATCCGTTTTTGGGGGTTTGGAATAGAAGTTACGAGAAGGATAGCGAGAAGCGTAGTCCATGATCCCTGTATTATCACAGGAATGGTCCAGAGAACACCCGTGCAGTAGTTGAAGGCTATGAGGGGAACTGCATTAGGGGCAGTATATGCGAGTGCGATAACCTCATTGAGAAGATATCCAATGTTCGGGAAAGGAGTTACGTAAGGCCAGGTACTCCATGTAATTGATGGCAAGAAAGGAAGGTAATAAGTTGCTCCCGAGAGAATAAGAAAGTACTCGAGGAGGACGAACGCGAGGACAGGTAACATAATTTGGAAGACTCGACTGAAGATCTTCTGAGATATAGAAGAGAGGTCACCATCGCGAAGAAAGGGAGTAACGAGGAATCGAGCAGAGGTTGTGAAGAAAAGACCGAGGGCCCCTTGATTGAGAAAGAAAGGCTCGCTGGTTTTATTGATCCATTTTTCGGCCGGATAGTGGGCGAAGGCACCAGGAGCAATGACTGCCGGTACGAAGGTCAGGCAGAAGTGGAGAACTGTTACGCTGATTGCTGCTACAGTGATGAGACCGGGTAGGTGATCGACTCTTTGGCTTGTTTCGATGGGGGATGCACTTTCATTTGTTGAAAATGCCGATGTGGGAAATATAGTTGTAGTATCCTTCCTACCCGGGTGGGCATCCATGTAAGTTTGGGATCCCTCTCGATGTTGTTGATCTGTGACGTTCGATACAAAATCGTATGTTGTATTGTCCAATGTATTTACAGTGGTAGAATTGTTAAGCCCCGAGAGACGTTTGGACTGTCCGTTGGAGTTCAAATCGAAACGACTAGCGGTGGGTGAGTTTGGCCAGGAGGGAGGTAGGTTAGAAGGTAGCTCATTGACAGATAACGTATTATCACTGTTGTTGCCTGAAATATCTCTGCAAATATCCCAATCGGAATCAACTCTACTATATACGTGTTCAATAGATCCAATACCACTCAAGCCTCGTTCACCAGAAGCTGACTGGCTTGCGGATGAAACGGTGAATGAAGATATTTGAGTCATTGACTCCGAATTATAGGATTCGATTCTGGTCCTATATGACGGTGCAGGAGTTAAGCTTGCGTTTCTGGAATGGGCGTAGGGTGGAGAAGGAGGGTTCATCACACCATTATAGTCTTCTGGGGTATGTTGGGGCTTTTCTTCTTTATTCTTGAGGAAAGCGTTTACTAGAGCTGTCAAAGTAACCATCATGCAGCCTACACTGAACCAAATCGCTATCCATCGAAGTGTACCATGAGCCACACGCTGCTCCCAGGGATTCAAAGCGGCTGACGAGAAAGGTGAGGAGCCACGTAAAGTAGTGTTTTCCATTGAACATGCGACTGTTAGGTTGCATTGAGTGTTGAAATTTGCATGATCTGTAGAATTCATCAATGATGAATTAAAGAATAGTCGGATCCATCCTATATTTGCATCTGAGATAGAGATGGGTGGGCCTTGCATCGAATATGGATTTCCGGTAGACCAATGCTTGATAAAGAAAGGGGATGGAGTAGATGGTACGGAGTTATTTTCCTTGGAAATTGATCTCACAAGAACGTCCCCGATGTACCAATTAACTTCATTTTTCGTCCAGTCCAATCGAAACTCGTTGTATTCATACAGTGAAATATTCTTCTCGGCAAAAGTACTGAAGTTTGTGCCAAGTGATGAATCCGGAAATTCCGGATGAATTAAACTTGTCACCCAAGAAGTCGAATTTTGGTTGGTGTTCATGACATTGATTTCCATCGATTCTGTTTCATTATATCGGAACATCATCGAGAGTGAAGTTCCGCCAACTCCTTGATTCGAAGGACGAAGGTGAGCACGTGCTGAACCATATTGGATATCCTGTCTCACAGTCCTGATTCCACCACCTGTTACCAGGTGGTCGCTAGTTGGTGGGTCTACAGACAGTTTTAACGACGGCGTCAACGCTGTGAAAAATGGCGATGATGATGGGATTGGATCGCTGGCAGTTGGAGAGTCGTTATTGCCTCCTCCGCTAGTCGTAGTTGAGCCATTCCCATGATGAGTAGAATTTGATGAAGATTGCCTTGTGAAGCGTGATTTGGACGAAAGTTGAGACCGTGGATCATCGGTGTTGGGTGTCAGGAATGAATTGTTGAGAAAGTTGATATTGATAGGATTGGAACCTTGACGGAATATGCTATTGTAATCCTTCTCATACTTGTTTTCGTATGACTGAAGTACGAAGTCGTCCGAAAGAGTATCGGTCTCATTGAAGTAAATGATTAGAGATTCCGTAAAGAAATTTCCAGTCACGGTATCATAATATCCACACCTGCAATCCTCATTCGAGGAAGTGGTGGTGGTGGTAGAAGAAGAAGATTGGGCATAGACGGAAGATGCGATGGCATGGAGTAAAGACAGAATGGAAAAGATGTACATGATGGAACATAAGAGCAACAAGCAGTGACAAAAGAATAATTCTTGGAAGTTACCTTCATCATGACTTCATATTGTCAAAAGATAAATGTCAAAACACATGTTCATAGGGGTTGCCATGAATATCGAAATTGCTTGCCCACATCCTCCTCGAGGGCTGAGAGGCCTGCGACCACATTTCATGATGTCTTGTCAACTATTTGCTTTTTAAGGGAACTGGAGATAAATTTAGAGGTGATTTTCGTTTTCCCAAGGATTTCTCAGACAGTATAAGCAATGTTGTGAATTGCGAAGACTTCACGAGTGGTCAAAGGGGGGGAAAAGGAAAAGGAAAAATGAATGAAGCCCGAAAGTTACAGCCCCGCACGTGCCCAACGCTATAGAGTGGCTTCAGTGGCTTTAGTGGCTCATTGAGTGGCTTTATTAGCTTCCGATGGGTTATTCCAGCTATAAACTTAGACTTCAATCTTCCAACCACACACTGAGTAATGTTCCAATTGCCGGAATCTTTGCATCTTTGCTTTCAATTTACATAACTATACGAGGGTTCACTATTCAAGAGAACCTCTCAGGTATACCGAGTGGCTTGAAACAATTAGTACCAAACTCTCATGCTTCTCGCTGCTTCATTCAGGGAAAAGATTTAGTAGCCATAACACACTGCCCACGACACGCAAAAGTATCTAGAAGTCTAGAACATCTACAAGCCTCAGTGTTCATTTTAAAGACAGAAACCCTCCTACGAGATTAGTATATCATTTTCTCCATCTTCTTATCTCAAATATCGCGTAATACCGATGCTTCAATTACAATAAGCAGGCAATATTGCCAGCGGCCACCTACTTTCAATAGTTTGATCAGCTTGGTATGATGCTATTCATGGATATCCCATAGACAGAATCAAGATGAATCCTATTCACGGTTTTGGATCTTATACGAAGCCCGAAAAGATGCAGAGCGTCATCTGTTTGTTGATATTCTTCTATTCCTTCACGAGCCTACTTCCCACATTCTTCCTCTAGGCAAATTTAATACTTTCGCTCCTTTGTTTGTTCTCGCAAAATGCTGAAGCTATCTGCTTCTTCAAAACCTGCTCCATACACTCACGTGTCTAGAGCTTCTACTTTCTTACTGGATTGGACTCCATTCCTCCTAATCATTTCCTATTTTATATTCTCAACATGCCTTTACATGTTTTGTACGCCAAAGTTGATAGAAATTTTCTGGCTCATCTATCTCTCCACGAATTCCTACACAGCAGCCATGAATGTCATGGAAGCCATATGCAGTCTAAAGCCCAACAGAATCGCCAGAAAGGCGCTTTACGACGTGGAGCAGAACGGTTGGAAATTTCCCACCCCCGATGATCAGCTCCTGATATTGGATCTCGTTATCGTCGCATACCTTCCCAACGAACAAGATATTATCATGGATAGGATTCATTACGCTCTAGATCACATCGTCTACCCTCAAGATAAGATTCGGATCAACGTATTATACAATACACCCAAACCTATCGAACCCCTCGAATCTCAAATGAACGATCTCGCCGCGAAGATTACTCGATTGAGAATAATCAAAGTACCAGACTCTACCTCTAAAGCACATAATCTTAATCATTTTTTTACCTTATATACTGGAGCACAGATCATCGCCTTATTCGATTGCGATCACTACACGCATCCTTATGGACCACGATGGGCTGTCGAGCGATTCCTCGCTGATGACGAGATTGATTGCGTGCAAGGACGATGTGTGATACAGAACTCCAAGGCTACATTTTTGACTGGTATGATCGCTGTAGAGTTCGACAAGATCTATGCTACCTCACACCCTGGTCGAGCTGCGTTATTCGGCTATGGTCTATTTACCGGTAAATATTTCTGATTTCTCTTCATTTCACTGTATGCATATAGTATTCTAACCCATCCAGGCTCCAACGGCTACTGGCGCTCAAGTCTTCTCCGTGATCTGAAGATGGACGCTAGCATGTTAACAGAGGACATTGATTCAGCACTACGCGCCCTAGAGCAGGGCGCCGTCTGTGTCCATGAGCCCAATGTCCTCTCGTACGAACTGGCACCTACAACTTTCAAATCGTTCCTCAAACAGCGTCTACGATGGGCCCAAGGCTGGACACAAGCTAGTTACAGACATTGCGTATTAGCATACAAGAAGTCTCCGCACAAGAAAAGGAATCTTCTGACCCGATTTGGTTTACTGTCACTGCTGTTAATCCGAAAATTGAGTTATTATCTGGTTTCGCAATATACTTGCCTGATGATGAGTTTTCTCATAACTGGGTTTCCCAAGACGGGAAACGAGCTGAAGAACCTCATTTTCTTTGAGTTTCCTGCTTCTGAATGGCTCTTTATTATTGGGTATGTTTATTTCTTCAAAAGATGTCGGGCCATGACTAATTTTGATACATAGAGCCCTATGCCTCATCGGAAGTCTCGCGATAACTTATTTCGTATTATCGGAATTCGTAACGAAGCGTATGATGATAAAGTTTACGATCCTTTATCCATTTTATTTGATACTTGGAAGCTGCATTGGTCTGTATGGGCATTTTAGACAGATTGTACGATATTCGGCTTGGAATGCTACTGTGAGATCTTAAGTTCGCTGATCGGGGAATACTCTTACTGTACAAATTACCGGGCCTTTTATATTTCTTTAAAGATAATATCCATAACATCAATCTATAGTAATAATTGGGTCTAATTCTGTTGTTGAATGGAAGAAAGTTCTATTTCTTTTCCTAAATTACAGGCATGTCCAGAGAACAAGATAGCTTCATTTCACATTGATGTACTTTACACTCTATATTCATGAATCAATAGATTACATACACAATTGAAAATAGTATCGCATCAAGAAAAGAACACACAAATCAACTCACAATCAAATGTGTTTTCAATCCTCTCTGTTTCACACACCATACACACACAACCACCTCTTCTCAAAGTTTAAACTCCTCACCCAAAGTCTCTCCCCCATGTCATTTAAGAAAACAAAAACAAAAAGACTTAACCTCACTTCACTCACAACCCAAGCCTTTTTATCTTCCAAATCAAAAGTATATATAGAATAAAAACTATGCAAACACCTTTCTCTACCCTTTACCATTTACCATCTACCATTTCCCCTTCCCCTTCCCCTTCCCTTCCCTTCTCACACCACCAAAACCTCCAAGATTAAAACCAAAAACCCCAATGTGATGCACACCCAGAAAATATATTACTCTAACATCGAACAAACACCAAAGTATCCTTTTATTTCATCATATCATGAGGATGTTTATCAGTATCTATACTTGAGTATCTATATCTATGTTACATCTATATATCCTTTCAATTTACTTTTTCCCTGTAATTCGAATATCATACTGTGTTGTTCTTGAATCTTACTTATACTTATACTCGTATTACTCTCTATTCCCTTTATTTCTTTCCTTTTACATCGCATCCTATCACATTCTCATATCCTATACCTTTTCATCCTTTCCCTTCCCTTTCTATCCCTTCCCATCCCATCCAAAAACACAACCAACCCCCAAGCTAATCAAATCAAGTCCTACTACATCATATCATTTCCCATCCCAAACCAAACCAAAAGACCACAACCAAAAGACACAATCACCACAACAAAGCAATCCATCCATCCATTTACCAATCCATCATCTATCCATCCACCTACCTACCTTCTAACTTCCGATTTCCAACCATCAATTTCCACTTTCCAGTTTCAGTCTTCAACTAGCCCCTAAAGTCACACTCACACTCACATTTCAAATCAGACACCAACTCCCTCACTATAACATCTAATTGAACCGAACTAAAGTGAACAGAAATAAACTAGACCAAAGCGAACTGAATTATGCTGAACCGAACTGAACTACAACAAACAGAATTGCACCAAACTGAATATAAAGCCACATTCATATACTTACTTATTTATTCATTTCATTTCTCTTCCTCCCCCCTCTTCCTTCCTACTTCCTTCCCTCTCTCCCTTTTGTTTTATTGCTTACCTATCTACCTTCCTACTTCCCTCCTTCCCTCCTCCCATAACTTTTCACTACCTACCTACCTACCTACTACCCACCTCCCTCTATTCTATCCCTACCGACCTACCTACCTACCCACCAACCTTCTGAAAACTCCATCCCCACCCTGACCATCCTGACTTTTCTATCCCATTCTATCTCACTATTTATCCAACCTTTTTATATCAATATATGCATATATACATACATATCGAGTATATATATACATATACAAATCAACAACTCCAAATTCTCGATTCAGTATTCGCTCTCCATCCCATCATACTAGAAACCAAACCATACAAATTGTTAACAGCTCTCCATTTCCTCTCCTTTCCCTCCATCTCCTCTCTCTCTCTCCCCTCCCTCTCCTCCCTCTCTCTCTCTCTCTCTCTCTCCTCTCTCTCTCCTCTCTCTCTCTCTTCCTCTCCTCCT